TGTCTTACTGTCCAGCTTGCTTACAGTGCTGGCCTGTTACAGAGGTTGATGGTGCAGTGTAATAGTTGTGTTTTCTTAATTCAGAGTAGTAATTAGTAATTTTTTAAATCTGGCAAGTGGTTCAACACTTTTTATGGATCCCCTATGGACTATCAAAGTTTTTATCCCTTAAGAGAAATTGAGATATGATACATTTGGGTATGCAATGGGTTGATAAACAGCACAAGTCACTGCATTTTTTTTTTTTTTTTTATGGAGTTTTGCACTGTTGCCCAGGCTGGAGTGAAGTGGCATGAGTTTGGCACACTGCAACCTCCACCTCCTGGGTTAAAGCGATTCTCCTGCCTCGGCCTCCCGAGTAGCTGGGATTACAGGTATGCACCACCATGCCCAACTAATTTTTGTATTTTTAGTAGAGATGGGGTTTCACCATGTTGGCCAGGCTGGTCTGGAACTCCTGACCTCAGGTGATCCACCTGCCTGGCCTCCCAAAGTCACTACATGTATTCTTATGTATATTTTTAATCTAACTTTGAACAAGTTAACTTACTCTCTTTAAAGTATGGGCCCTTAGTATTTAGTTTGAGATTAAACTTTCTCATAGTCTCATGGTTAGGATTAAATGATACAGTATATGTAAGCAGTAAGTACTGTACATAGTGCAAAGTAGATGCTTAATAAATTGTCTTATATAAATATTGATATTATTATATTCTCATTTATTGCTGTTTTATCCTGTAAGTTCTTTATGTTTTACTTTATAAGCATCAAATATATTAGACATTCAAGTTAAAAAAAAAGATCTAGGTCTGACTTTGGACTCTACCCCTTACAAGTGACTTTAATGTTCCGGATTCTCAGTTTCTTCACATTAAGAAAAGAAAGGGAATGTTGTTATCATTGCTATTGGGATACTTGATGTAGTATACCAAGTCTTTTGCCTAAATTCTTAGTTCACATTGTTCCAGTAGACATAATTAGTTGGTTTAATTTTATTTATTTCATTAGTAGGGCTGTACAAATAGATATCATAGAAAAAGAATCGTTCCTCATTGTAACATGCATCCATAGACAGTCCTTCCATATAATCAATCTCTATCACTTGTTCACTTTTTCAGTGATAATTATGTACCTTTGACCTCAACTTATTTTGTTAAATTTTATTTTACAGAATTCAGTTGTGAGCTTGTGGCACTCATCTTTTTTCGTTATTCTCATAATCTGATGTATCTGATATTAGCAGTGTGTATACATCTTTAAACAAATGTCAGTGACTCAATAATAAAAATGATTTTTATAAAATCAGAAGGGATATGGTTTCTACAGCCCCCCACATTCTTTTGACCTCACAGAATATTATGTTCTTCTTATTTTTTTACATCTATTCAAATGTCATCCACTCCCCAATGATAATGAAATGAAATTCTGTTTATTAAGCAGGTGCCTTTGAGAAGTTGGTCATAAATAGGCACAATTCGCTCTACATACTGACAGATGACTGTTAATAAAGGTTGTTAGGGAGGGCCCCAGAGCTTTCCAGATTCTCAAAAGAGTCACATTGGTGTGAACAAGTCATTTCCCACATTACAAAGTCTAACAGAAATCACTGCCTGCCCCATCTCCAAGCCCACAGGAGACATTTTCATAGGAAATACAAGGACCTTTATGAAGGTGCCCACCATCCCTTCTTGTGGCTTTTGGATATTAATTATCTTTAGCTTAAATCTGGATAAGTGCTTAGTAGGTAGGAGATGTTTTAAATATCTATAATTTTGATTCTTGTTTTCAACAGGTTATAGGAATTTAAGTAGACATAACATATATATGTCTCGATTGCATTTTACTTATTTGGGACTCCTTGTTTTAGTTTAGAGAGTTTATTTGAATCATCTTGATCTGCTACTCACAGTATGTGTCTCTCCGACTATTGCATAATCTAAAATTTGATTTTTAAGCTTTGGTTCAAATTAATTGTTTAAAAAACATTATAGTAGGGTTAAGTGCTGTGGTATGCTGTTAGAGGAGTGTCTTCAGTTACAATCTATGCTCTGTGCATGCAGTTTATTCATCCACCCTGAAACTCGTGTGGGAGAAGGAGCATCATATATTGGCCACTAGCTGGGAATATAAATTCCCTACTCTTGAACAGTACCTCAACCTTATAAGAGGAGGTCTACCAGTTAGAACTATAAGTACTGAGTGATCAAACAGCACCCACTTCTGCTTTTAGTTTTCACTTGATCCTAGTTTTATTTATACTATGGCTACTTGATGGAGTATTGTTGTGCATACTTAAATTTATATAGCACCTCATTCAAATGAGTAGTTCTGGATACGCACTTACTTGGTGTGCTACAATCAGGCAGACACAGTTTATGGCAGGGTTAAATAACATATGTAAATTTTTATTTTCTATAGACAATAATGTTTACTTGACAAGAAAGATATGACTTTGTTCTATACCCAGGGTCCCTCCTTTTTGATTTTCTAATTAGAGTAGGCTACAGACTCCATATAATATTCTGATCAACTCCAAGCACATTGGATCTTCCTGATAATGATATCCAAAGGACAGAGCTTCTTATTTCCCAACTTAGACCAGCTGGAGATCTTTATATACTACTCCGGCCCCTTCTCAAAGTGTACAGCCTTATGATTTACTTGAAATATGCTTCCAAGTGATAAACCAAATGGTAATATGTTGTCTCCAGAATTCACAAAGGCCTATCAAGCATTGTATCTTTTTCTTAGTGATAGTAAATACATACTAAAGCAACTTGTTTTTTCACTTTAGAGGGAGTATTTCTACATGCCTTAGAGCCACCAACTTCTGAAGAATCCAGGGCTCTACCTAACGAGTGTCAGGGGCAGTGCTGATCCTTCCAGAAAATAACTACTTCTAGAACAACAGAACTGTGTAATTGGAAACATACCTAATTAACTTCACAATAATTCACGGCTCTTCTCCAAGTTTCTCCTATCTTCTGCACAGTTAATGTAGGGAAATTAATTAGGAAAATGATAAGAATTTCTACCCATTTCATTCATATTTCAAGACTAATGTGGCACTAAGGTTTGTGAATCCTCTAGGTAAACATATAGGTCAAAATACCTTTGGGAATGCTACATTTACAGGAATAATTCCCTAAACCACTGGGCAACCAAGGTAGCTGCTACTTCTATTGTGATTAAAAGAACCTGCATAGACCCTGCGCGGTGGCTCACGCCTGTAATCCCAGCACTTTGGGAGGCCGAGGCGGGCAGATCACGAGGTTAGGAGATTGAGACCATCCTGGCTAACATGGTGAAACCCCGTCTCTACTAAAAATACAAAAAATTAGCCTGGTGTGGTTGCCGGCACTTATAGTCTCAGCTACATTGGGAGACTGAGGCAGGAGAATGGCGTGAACCCGGGAGGCGGAGCTTGCAGTGAGCGGTGATCGCGCCACTGCACTCCAGCCTGGGCGACAGAGCGAGACTCCGTCTCAGAATAATAATAATAAAATAATAATAATAATAATAATCATCTATATAATTAAGTAACTCTGAAACAGCTGTGGGATGAGCCAGAACTCTGACACCTCAGCTGCTATCTGTAGCAACAAAATACATGCCCTGTACTGTACCTACTTCTTTTCCTTGGTAGTGCATTTCTAAATCAAGGGCTCAAATGAGTACTTTTAATTGGCAGAACTCACATCCAAAATCCTAACTGCAGAGTAATCTGGGAAGAATTACGTCTAGTTCCCCAGCTTCTGAAATACAGAAAGATGCGAAAGAAAAAGATTATCATGTGTGTTGAGTGTGTCCTCCCATGATTTGGTCCACAGTAGCCTCACGTATAATATTGTTGTCAGTCTTGGTTTCCATGTCAGCCTTCCGAAAAAATTCCACTGTATTTACGAAAGGGTAAGTGTCAGTTAAAATGTAAGGAAGAATAGAGATTGTTTTAATAATATTCATGTAATTTTGAACCACATTAATGGTTATATGGTCTTTGTATGAACTTCAGTCATGTCGGGGAGAAACAGTTCATAGATATACTATGGAATAGCTCTTTATGATGAAATTCTCTTCTCAGCAGTCTTCTCCAATAGGATTATATTAACTCTGGAAAAATATATTTTATTTATAGTATTTAACTTTTCAAGGTTCAGTGAACTAAATTCATGTTATATAGCCGTGAATGCTCTTGTGTTGTCATCCTCAACATTTCACTTATTGAGCCCTTACTAGGTGCCTGTCACTATGGTAAGCATTTTCATTATCTAACTTAATAGATGTTTCTCTTCAACTCTATAATCCAGGGATCCCCAGCCACCAGGCCACGGACCAGTACTCGTCCATGGCCTGTTAGAAACCAGGCCACATAGCAGGAAGTGAGCAGCAGGGGAGCTAGCATTACCTCCTGAGCTTCCCCTCCTGTCAGATCAGTTGTGGCATTAGATTCTCATGGGAGTGCAAACCCTGTTGTGAACTGTGCATGTGAGGGATCCAGGTTGCACACTCCTTATGAGAATCTTGTGAGTGATAATCTGACGTGGAACAGTTTCATCTCAAAACGATCCACCCTGCCCCCCTTCCATGGAAAAATTGTCTTCCACAAAACTGGTCCCTGGTACCAAAAAGGATGAGAGATGACCTATCTATCATTTATCTAGCTAATCTATCTAAAAGGTAAGAGCTTAAATATCTTGATTTATCATCTCCTTTATTCATTTTGTATATAGCCTATTATCTAAACTATTATCTTTTGCTACTTCAACTAAAGCTTCCATTTTAGCACCCTGTTTCATGTTTCAAAATATTAACTGCTATAGAAAATCTTAGAGCCTATAATATTATAATTTGTGTACTTTATGATTGTGCTTGAGACTGACCCAGAATTACCTTGATACTTTTTATACTCCTCACAGCATTTAGCTCAGTAGTAAGGTCTTAGAAAATACATTTTGATTTGACTTAATGGAATACAGAAACTTACTCATTTTTATCTTTAGTTTCAGGTGCAGCGTTATGTCTCTCAGAGTCTGGTAACCCTGGGAAGCTGCAGCTTGTTGAGAAAATCTATTATATCTCTGCTTCTATCAGAAGTAAATGGCTTTGCCGATGATCTGGGAGCCATCAATCAGGTACATATAACTTGAAACTGTAGCTCTCATTTATAGTTAATGTACCTATCTGTTTTTCTTTTCTTTTCCCTTCTTTCCTCTCTTGCCAGGCTAATATTTTAGTTATTACCTTATGTCTAATATATGTGAGTAATATTACTGCCTACCAAAATTACAGAAAGATACTTTCAGAAAACAATTTTGAAAATAAAACCACTTTATAATCCTTACTTGCATATATGTGCCAAAGATGCCATTGGTGACAGCAAAAGAGTGCTTAGATGAATGGCTTTAAATTCATCCAGGCAGGCAGCAAGTTTCTAAAGCAAAGTGAAAGAAAAGTGAACTGGGGAGGATTCTAAATGGAGAATAGTCCTTAACTAGTATTTTTCATTCCTCATTGCTTATGAAAATCATCTGGCTAACTTTTAAATATTCTATTGCCAAGTCGTATGCCAATCCTATTACATAGGGGTCTCTGAATTTGGAATTCTGGTATTGGTATTGTTAGAGCACTTCAGGTGATTTCAATATGCAACCAAGCTCGAGGAACACTGCTCTAAGCCCTTCTATCTGTGGAAAGTCTTCTATATCACTGGTGACAAATGTGTAGAAGGAACATAAATTATTCCCATATTTTAATGTTCACACTGGTTTATTACATGTATTCCATTTGATAGCTCATTTAATATTTTTATCATTTCTGTAGTCAGAGTCACAAAGGAAATTAGAGATAGGTAGAAACGTCTTGGTAAAGAGAAATAACTTTAATAAAATATTGTATATACATATAATTTAAACAATTTTTAACAAAGTACTGACATCTAATGACATAGTCTAAAAATATTATACAATCTAATTGAATTTGATGTTTGACATGGTGTATCTAGTAAGCAAATTTTCAGTTGACTACCAAATGTAAACTCTCTTAAGAGCTCTGTTGGATTTTTTTAAAAAGTCGTTTTCGGCCAGGTGCAGTGGCTCACACCTGTAATCCCAACATTCTGGGAGGCCAAGGGGGCGGTGGATCACAAGGTCAGGAGATTGAGACCATCCTGGCTAACATGGTGAAACCCCATCTCTACTAAAAATATAAAAATAAAAAATTAGCTGGGCGTGTTGGCGGGTGCCTGTAGTCCCAGCTACTCGGGACGCTGAGGCAAGAGAATGGTGTGAACCTGGGAGGCAGAGGTTGCAGTGAAACAAGATCGTGCCACTGCACTCCAGCCTGGGTGACAAGAGCGAGACTCCATCTCAAAAAACAAAAAACTCGTTTTCACTGTTGTCGAGGAGAAAAAAGTAAGCTATATTGATTAATTGAAAAAGAGCAAAGTGTTAAAATGTTTGATGCTTTTTGTAGGCATTCCAAGATCAAGGAACTGACCATGGTAGGTTGCAGGTCCCTGAAAATAATTTACAGAAAAGGAAGTACTTGAAAAATGCATTTGAATTGAATAAGCAGAGGATAACTGAATGTAGAGGCATTAGGATGTTATTTAACAAGAGATGCCAAAGATTCTGGGGAAACAAGGTGAAGTCTTAGCGTTTAACAATAGGAAGCAATGTGGAAAGTGAGTTTAATTGAATTCAGTTGTTTGGAGGATATCAGTAAGTGCAGAAAAAATGATGTATATATTCTTATTTAATTTTCACAATAGCTCCATGAAGCAGTTACAATTTTCACATACTTTATAGATAAGAATACAAAACATTAGAGTGGTGAAGTAGCTTGACCAAGACTGAAGAAAGAGCATATGCTAAAGCCATAATTCAAACCCAGATGTTCTGACAGTTAAGATACTTTAAAATAATAATAAGAAAAATAGCAATAATACAACAACAATAACTAGTGTTTGGCAGGTTTATGTTGTTGAATTCTGTTTGCTTGTATTTTGCTAAGGAGTTTTGCATTGGCCAAAGGACAGTATATTTAATAATTGATGCCAGGAAAACTGGATATCCATATGCAAAAGAACAAAACTATATTTCATTTTTTTTTATCATATACAAAAATCAAATTAAAATGGATTAAAATCTTAAATGTAAGATCTCAAGCTTTGCAACTACTAGAAGAAAACTGGGGAAGTGCTGTAGGACATTGGCCTAGACAAAGATTCTTTTGGGTAAGACCTTAAAAACACAAGGAATGAAAGCAAAAATAGACAAATGAGAATATATCAAGGCAAAACGCTTCTGCACAGCAAAGGAAACAATTAGCGAAGTGAAGAGAAAACCCACAAAATGGAAGAAAACATTTGCAAACCAGCTATCTGACAAAGGATTATATAATTACCAGAATATATAAAGAACTCAAACAACTCAATACCAAGAAAACAAACAATCTGAATTAAAAAGGGGCAAAATACCTGATAGATATTTCTCAAAAAAAAGACATACAAATGGCTAGCAGGCCTATGAAGAAAAGAAAAAAAAAAGCTCAACAGTACTAATCATCAGGGAAATGCAAATCAAACTACAATGAGATATCATCTCACTCCAACTAGAATTAAAAAAACAAAAAGTAACAAATGTTAGTGAGGATTTGGAGAAAGGGAAATGCTCATAGACTGTTGATAGGAGTGTAAAGTAGCATAACCATTATGGAAAACTGTGGACATTCCTTGAAAAAATCTAAAAATAGAACTACCATATGATCCAAGAATCCCACTGCTGGCTATATGTCCAAAAGAAAGGAAAGAGGTATCAGACTCACATGCTCACAGTAGCCAAGATACGAAATCAACCTTAGTGTCCATCACTATATGAATGAAGATAATTTGGTGTATATGTGTGTGTGTGTGTGTGTGTGTGTGTATATGAATATTATTAAACCATAAAAAGAATGAAATCTCATCATTTGCAGAGCATGGATGGAACTGTAGGTGATTATATTAAGTGAAATAGGCCAGGCATAGAAAAACAAATATTGTATGTTCTCACTCATATGTAATGGGAGCTAAAGACATGGATCATATAGAGGCAGAGAGTAGAATGATGGTTACCAGAGGCACGGAAGGGAAGAGAAGTTGGTTAATGAGTATGGAAATATGGTTAGATAGAAGCAATAATTTCTAGTATTCAATAGTACAGTTAGTGAATTTTAGATATCGTTAATTATAACTAAATATAATTGTAGAAATTATAACTTGTTTTATATTTCAAAATAACCAGAAGTGAAGAATTGTAATGTTTCCAACATAAAGAAAAGATAAATGTTTGTGGTGATAGATATCCCAATAACCCTGATTTGATAATTATGCATTGTATATATGTGTGAAAATATCTCATTTACCCCCAGTATATGAACAACTCTGCCTTGTCAAGTAAAAATGCATAAAAACATTCATTTAAATTCTGTGCATTCTACTATGGGTAAACTGTACCTCAACTAAAATATAGTTTTTGAAACCTTAACAAATTTTTGAACCAAAAGTAAATATAATTTTTCTCATTGCTTTTATACTCAGTGTTTTAGCTCACTTTAAAGACTTTATTTCTCTGTCAATATAATGAATGCTAAAATCTTACTAAGAACTTTCTGAAGAATAGTTTTAGTTTTTAATGATATAAACTTTTCTAAGTAGTCACTAATTCAAAAAATGATTGTGTATGTATATATATGTAAATCATATTGTACTCTATGTAAGTCTGATTGAATTTCTAAGGTATTTGATGGCAGAAGATAGATCTGTTTAATAAAGATTAATGGATGGTTGAATAATAATTATCATCATAAGTATTTACTGAGAAGCCTTATGTGTCAAACACTATTCGAAACATTTCATAGTCCTCCAAATATTTTGTGCATATTTTTGTTTGAAATACATAGCGATTAATTTTAATTTTATGTCATTTAATACTCCTAACTACACTAGTAATTTGTATTATTCCCATTTTACAAAAGAGGGCAATTAGGATTAGGGAGTTTAAGTAGCTGGCCCACTGTCATAGGAAGTACAGCACCAGTTTGTTGAACCCACAAAATCTGACTCCAGAATCTAGAAGATAAAATATGGACTAATTTCTGTTCCTGACTAACCATGCCAGTTATTTGTATTTCACTAACACCATTTTATTTAATTTGTCTCATGCAACTGGTATGTGTGTTGTCTCACCTACTTTTTAGCAGGGTAAGTAAAGTAGATATTTGTGTTAAGTTTAACACGTTTTTTATGTATATTCTGTGACCATTGAATCAGATTTTTGAAAGGTGGTTTTGTTGCCTCTTATCCTAGTATCCTTTCTCTAGCTGTGTTCCTTTGAATGGCATTTTCTTGGGTCTTGTTGAAATTATTTACGCAATGCTGAGGATAAAGGTTTCCTAATACCTTCTCAAACGTGTATTTTGGATTTCCCCCTTCATTGCCTTTTCTTTATCAATATGTGTCCAGAATTGGTGGGTTCTTGGTCTCACTGACTTCAAGAGTGAAGTCGTGGACCCTCACGGTGAGTGTTACAGTTCTTAAAGATGGTGTGTCCGGAGTTTGTTCCTTCAGACGTTCAGATGTGTCTAGAGCTTCTTCCTTCTGGTGGGTTCATGGTTTTGCAGACAGGATTGAAGCTGCAGACCTTTGCGGTGAGTGTCACAGCTCTTAAAGGTGGCGCATCTGGAGTTGGTTGTTCTTCCCGGTGGGTTCTTGGTCTCATTGGCTTCAGGAGTGAGGCTGCAGACTTTTGTGGTGAGTGTTACAACTCATAAAGGCAGTGTGGACCCAACGAGTGAGCAGCAGCAAGATTTATTGCAAAGAGTGAAAGAACAAAGCTTCCACAGTGTGGAAGGGGACCCAAGCGGGTTGCCCTGGTTGGCTCAGGCAGCCTGCTTTTATTCCCTTATCTGGCCCCGCCCACATCCTGCTGATTGGTCCATTTTACAGAGAGCTGATTGTTCTGTTTTGACAGAGTGCTGATTAATGCGTTTACAGTCCTTGAGCTAGACACAGAGTGCTAGACAGAAAAGTTCTCCAAGTCCCCACTAGGTTAGCTAGATGCAGAATACCAATTGGTGTATTTACAAACCTTGA